TATTGTAATTTCTTTTGAATAAAATTAACCTCACAAAATAGGGCAATTTTAAGAAAAACTGACGAGGCCCTGACCAGTTTTTCCCTAAGTAGGGCATTGGTCTGGAACAGCGTCACACACTAGTCGGGCACTGGTCAGTTTCTCTACCCAGAGCCACACCAGAGATCAGGAAAACTGTCTAGTACCCTATCAGGCCCACATTTTAATTTCTGCACGGGAAACTTAGATACTCCTTTTACTTGAATCATATTTTTTAATTTACATGGATGGCCTTGATTGTGATTAAAAAATGTGTAAATGTTGAACCTCACTATTTCCTCGACAAATGGTTACATCACCCTATTATCCACATTTATGTTTTTAAAACTGTCATTGTCACAGTTGTTGAAGAAGAGGAGTTGTTCTAAAGCGTCCTTTACTAATTTTTTAGTATTTTTGTCTCTGTCCTCGTCATCGTCAATGTAATTTTTGTCCTCGTAATGTTAGATTAGTAGATTAGCAAATGAGATGTTAACAAATTAAAGTACTCTACCACAAGAAAGAATTGACGTAACAATTTTAAATATAAATTGTTGAAGTCACAATTATTTGTAGAATTATTTAAAACAAAGTTTCGCGATTTGCATTTTCAAAGTAAAACAAAGAATCTCTTTAAGAGGAGTTCCTTTTACTTAAGAAGCAAGTTTATTTATGAACTCGATATAAACATGTTCTTAAGAGTTCACTCCTTTATCTTAATATAATTCTTCGCTGAAAACAACTATTTACTTTGAAAATACTATTTATTTATTTATTTTATCTTAAAAATTTTCAAATATAATACAAAACGTAGACTACATCTCTAATTTTCCTTATTAATTTAGTACACAAGTTTTTTTCATAATAATTATTAATAAAAGTGTGTTTAATAACCTTAATTTTTCTGTATTATCTATTATTAGGGAAATGTAAGGTATCGTGGCGTGTAAGGTATGGTGGCGGACTTGTCAAATCTGGCATGTAACGTCACATCTGAAGCGCCTAATTACTATGGTCGATGTCTTTTATCGTGATGACATTTTATATGCAGTAGTATTAATTATCAAACGCGTGCTTTGTACTTTAAGTGATTTTGAATAAAAAAGTTGTGAATAAAAGAAAAAAAGTTTTATTGGATATGTATGTTAACAGTGCCAGAGTGAAGATTTTTTGAAAATTGAGTCTGGTAAATGTATGGGACGTATTGCTTAGACCTTGGACAACAGTTTTTTGTATTTTACATTTTTCTCAATTCGCGCTGTATGAAAGTGACACCATCATATTTTCATCAATAGCTTGTAAGGTATGATGGCGCAATTTTTGTAACGTACAGTGGCGGATCATTTTTTGCACGAGTTTCAATTGTCTTTGCATTTTTTGTGTAAGGGGGAGTGGGGCAAAGGCGCTATGCGGGGCAAAGACGTTTTTTAAAATATCTCCTTTATTTTCTGTATATTCCAATTGGTATTAACAATTAAGTTGCAATGCAATCAGACCAATTGATTAAAAAAGGAAAACCTAAAAGTATCAAATATTTTAAGAAATTGAACAAAAAAATTGTTTTGCAAAAATAAAATGATAATTTTACTGAACAAACTTTTATTTTTTAAAACATAAGTTTAAGTTTTTAATTTTTAAAAACGTAACATGTAAATAAATTAAATATTTTTCTACACAACTGGCGTGGTGTTTTAGTTTAATTTTGTATCTAAATATTTTAAATTTAAAGTAAAAAAAAAGTTTGTTATGTGGGGCAAAGGCAATATTGAACATAATTTGGTTAAAAACAATTGAATATTCGAATTTTCTATGTATTAATTCACAATATAAGGTAAAAATCACTAAAAGTTTTTATTTTTTATATAAATAGTTTAATTAATGTAGGAAATTATTTGCTGATTAAGAATTTTAATTAAGGAAGATTTCGACTATATCAGCAATTAGTGACATCTATTAGACGTCAATTGAACTCTTTGGTTTAGAGTCAGGTGTTATTCTTAAAATAATTATTCCGATATGGTTGTCGGTAAATAATTATATTTTTGAATTTAATTTTTGATCTGAAAAAATAAGCTGCGTGAACGACTGGTGCATTGGTAGGCGTTAGTCCCGCGAAAGGCAGCTATTAACTGGGGTTCGAGTCCTCACAGATGCACAGTGCAGTCGTTCACGCAGCTTATTTTTTCAGATCAAAAATTAAATTCAAAAATATAATTATTTACCGACAACCATATCGGAATAATTATCTGAAGAATAACACCTGACTCTAAACCAAAGAGTTCAATTGACGTCTAATAGATGTCACTAATTGCTGATATAGTCGAAATCTTCCTTAATTAAAATAGTTTAATTCTTTTAATAATATGTTGTTAACCTTATGTTTCGTAAATATTATACTAATAAATATCACTTGTTAATTTTTTTAAGGCTTATAAATGCTTTCTTTTAGAAATAATAAGCGAAAACGTCGCTGCCCCAGCGTGTGGGGCAAAGGCATTTTTTGCATTGTTTTTAAATTTCATTAAATAATTTATTTATAATTATAATATACTAAATAACAACTATTAAAATTTCTTGTTCATTAGTTTTAGAATAATGAAATACAAAGACCGCATAAATTAATTGCTTAATTTAAAAAATATACATCGATAAATGTAAACCTAGCGCCTTTGCCCCACTCTCCCCTACTAATGCCTCATGTGCTCCAACGCAACAATTCTCGAATATGTGACACTTGCGGTCTTCTCTAAGGGTGCAGTCCCATGCTGAGCAGAAAACAGAATGCAAAGCAGAATTTCGTGAGTGCAACAGAGATAGTCAGATATCACTATCTGTTTTAGAATGTTAAGAAGGAGAATTGAATTTTATCTGACTTGTTAATTTCGTTGAACTTAAAGAATTTTATTTGAAGAACTTGTATTTTGTGGATTTTACAAAAAAAGCGGTATTAACTTGTGCGTTGTGAAAATGTATCTTATATATATATATATATATCTATAGCCCATAAGCTGGCCTTCTTCATGCTTCTCGCACGCATACTGCGCAAGTCAAAAATACATTTACATGAAGCTGCAGTTTGAATGGCGGCAATTACAATTCAAAATTAACTTAAAATAAATTTACATTTTCCTTTTAGCCTAATATCTTAACATACCGGCCACCTTGCGAACTTGTATCAAGATCGCAAAGAAAACACATTCATTCATAATAAAAATAAAGGTACATGATCTATAAGAGTAGAAATTAAATCGGTTTACAGTTAACTTAAACTATTAAACAGTCTCGGACAAATTGGAATCTTTCGAAGTCGGTAAAAGTACTAATTGTGAAATCGGTCGAACATATTCCGATTTACTAGTTTTAACGTGTACTACACGTACAACACCATCTCGTCCAAATATACATTTGATCACACGTGCTAAATCCCACTTCGCAGGTGAAGAATTCGCATTTTTTAATAAAACTATGTCGCCAATTCTTAGATTAGGTTTTTTCGAGAACCACTTGACTCGTTGTTGCAAGGTCTGTAAATAAACTCTACTCCATGACCTCCAAAATGTCTCTAAAATACGTTGATAAAATTGCCAACGAGTCAAGTAATTAGTGTTTACATTCAAAAGCGACGGAGAAGGTACAATTTTCAAGGCCGAACCTATTAAAAAATGACCCGGTGTAAGAACATCGAGACTTTCCGGATCGTCATTAATCGCGACTAACGGTCGAGAATTTAAGCAACTCTCAATTTGGCAAAGTAACGTAGTCAGTTCTTCAGCAGTTGGCGTCGAATTTAACAATAGTTTTCGCAAATGAGTTTTAACACTCTTGACACCAGCCTCCCATAGGCCACCAAAATTCGGAGCTATAGGTGGCATGAAGTGCCAAGTTGTTCCATCTGACGCAAAACAATTTACCAGATCTGAATCCTTCTTAAGAGATTGAAAGGTCTTCGAAAGCTCACGATCGGCACCACGAAAATTTGTGCCATTATCGCTATAAATGTCACTTGGAATTCCGCGTCGAGATGTGAAGCGCCTGAAAGCTGCCAAAAACGTAGGTGTCGAATAATCATGAACTAATTCTAGATGTATCGCTTTAATTGAAAGACACACAAAAATAGCGAGCCAAGTTTTATGGGATTTCGATCCACGACCAGAATTGTTTCTTACCATAAATGGCCCGGCATAATCAATACCCGTATGAGAAAATGGTCTTGAAGGAGAGACTCGTGGAGGTGGAAGTTCACCCATGATGTTATTTTCATTTTGAGCTTTATCACTTACGCAAACAACACAGCGATTTATTATATACCTTGTCATGCTTCTACCTCCAATTATCCAATACTGCATTCGAGACATGGAAAGGGTCAATTGAAGGCCAGCATGTAGCAAATTTTTGTGAAGTTGCTCTAATATAAGTTGAGACAAGACATGTTTAGGTAATATCGCGGGGGGAGTTTTGTAAATTTGAAGATTTGATTGACAAAGCCGGCCACCTAACCGAATAATTCCGTCCTTATCTAAAAACGGATTCAAATTTTTCAAATTTGAATTTCATGGAAGAGTTTCATTTGATTTCAATGAGGCGATTTCTCGAAAAAAAACGTGATTTTGAATATAACGAATCCAAAATATAACGGAATCGTGAATTTCACTTGCAGATAATCCTTTTTCGAATTTTAATTTTGATTTGAACGATTTTACTGCTCTCAAGATATATGCAGTAATTCGCAACAATTTTGCCCATGAGGATAGTTTTAACAATAATGTCATTTGCCAATCCTCATTGGTTGTTGCCACTGCGTGCGAAGAAATGCGTTTTTCATGCGTGGTATCTTGAATGTTAAAATTACGTCGGGGCCAAGATTCGGGTGTTTCGGAAAGCCAGGGTGGACCATTCCACCATAATGAAAAAGAATCAAAATTTTCTGCAGAAATACCACGAGATGCGCTGTCCGCGGGATTGTCCTTAGATGGGACATGATTCTATACGGCTGTAGGTAAGTCTGTTTGAATCGAAGACACCCTATTAGCGACGAATAATGTCCACGTGGATGGTTGTTTTTGTAACCAGCTGAGGACAATGGTAGAGTCTGTCCAACAAAAAATCGGTACATCGATAAATTTAAGAGATTTGATAACGAATTTGATAAGAGTTGATAAAAGAGTAGCGGCTAATAATTCTAGCCGAGGAATACTTACGGTTTTGAGCGGAGCAACTCTTGTTTTTGCGATTAACAATTTTACTGAAATATTTTTTGAAGAGTCGATGACACGACAATACACTGCAGCACCATAAGCGATACTCGAGGCATCCGAGAATCCGTGTATCTGAATTGATGTCAAATTGTTATTTGTAGTAAGCCACCTGGGAATCGAAACCTGAGACAAACAGGGCAATTTTTCACAAAATTCACGCCATTCGTGAGCCAAATCAGAGGGCAATTCATCATCCCAATCGAGTTTTCGTAACCACAATTTTTGTAAAAGAATTTTGACCGTAATTGTAACGGGAGAAATCCATCCCATTGGATCAAAAAGACTTGCAACAGCTGATAATAAAGTACGTTTTGATGGATTCTCGGATGACAATTTTGAAAAGCGATAAATAAAAGCGTCGGTAGAAGGTTCCCAAAAAATTCCTAGGACTTTAAACCCTAAAGATTCACCGAGAGGAATCTCTACTGCTATTCCGTGTTCCATTTCAGATAAATCTTGAAGCAAATCCGAATCATTGCTGCACCATTTACGCAAAGGAAATCCTCCAAGTTTGGTCAATTCGATAAGATTGTCTCTTAGTTTTATTGTCGAAGGTTTATCCGATCCTCCTACAAAAGTGTCATCTACATATGTGTCGTTATAAAGAACACAAGCAGCTATGGGAAATCTTTTTTGTTCGTCAAGAGCTAATTGGCGCATAACACGATTTGCCAGGTACGGAGAACTTCTCATGCCATACGTGACAGTATTTAATTCGTAGACTTGGAGCGGAAGATCAGGAGAATCGCGCCAGAGAATGCATTGATATTTCCGATCCTCTGGAGACACTAAAATTTGCCGAAACATATTTGCTATGTCGGCACAGAAAACGAATTGATGTTGACGCCACCTTAAAAGAATAGACAAAATATCATTTAGCAATTTGGGACCAATGTGTAAACAATCATTAAGCGAAATTCCATTAGCGGTTGGGCTTGATGCATTAAGAACAACCCTTAATTTGGTTGTTTGACTGAGTTCTCGCATTACACAATGATGAGGAATAAAAACCTTTTGCGAGTTGGAATCACTTAAAGACCCAAGCAAATCATATGTCCCATTTTTTCATAAATATGCAAAAAATCCGCATATTCAAAAGCGACATTGCTGTTGCGAGCGAATCTCTTTTCTAACTTGTTGAGAGAAGCAGTAGCAATTTTAAGAGAGTCACCTAACACCGTTGGAGGTTGATTAAAAGGAAGTTTGACTTGGAACCTACCGCTTGGCAATCTTTCAGTTGTTTCAGAAAAATAAGTCTCACATTCACGTTCAGCCTTAGTCAAAATGGGATTAGATGGAATTTCCTCCAATTCCCAGAATCTGCGCAGATTGTTATCAATTTCATTGATACAGAGGTGAACATTGACATGATGCGATTGAGTAAGGGTCACTTGAACTGGTACAGAAAGGGATCCAGCCGAAAACTGTTGATTGAGCAACAAGGTTTTCAGATTTTAAAGAAATTACATTGGTGCACAATGTCTTGCCATATAAATCAGCACCGATGAGAAGATCGATTGGTTCAGTAGACCATGGACATGGATCTGCAAATTCTAAATCACGTAAGTTTGGCGGAATATTTGCGAGAGCGAATTCTGTCGGAATGTAACTGGTGATTTTGGGCAAAACGAACGCTCTGGTTGTGAATAATTCAGATCCCGATTTGACAGGTTTCACTACAAGAGGGACTGAAAATAAGACTTTTTTCGAGAAATTTCCGCCCAATCCGGAAACAGAAACATTTGATGATTTTCGAGGAAGTCGCAACAATTGAACAACAGATTCAGACACGAAAGAAGCCTCGGAGCCTTGATCGAGCAAGGCACGAACTTGCACTCGGCGCCCATCAGCCGCTTCAACAATTACTCGAGCTGTCGCTAAAAGAACAGCTGTTCGTTTTTCTGTAGCATTAAGGTGATTAGAAAGTTTGAAAGATTCAGTTTCTGATTTGTTTTGTGAACTTGAAGCATCTTGTGTGTAGTCACTTTCTTTTAATTTCAATTCTTTCAAAGAAGCGGTATTTACATTTTGATCACGATGTAAAAGCGAATGATGTTGTTTCTTACACACAGAACAAACATTTTTACTCTCACACACATTGCGATGATGTTTTCCTAAGCAATTAAAACATCTTTGATTTGAGCGAATATACTCAGAGCGTTCATCAACTGATTTAGATTTAAATTGCGGACAAAGATATAAATTGTGATCTTTTTTACATAAAATACACGGAAATTTTGAAGAACTTTGATGCGCATGAATTTTTGATCGAGAGATAGATGATGACTGAAACGAATTATTTACATTTTTTACTTCAATACGCTTTTTTGTTGCTGCAGATGCTTCAAGTGCACGAATGCGTGAATCTAAAAATTTATTAAATTGATCGAGAGAGGGAGGATCTGTTGTATCACTGACGAGCAATTCCCACTGATCACGAGACAATTTGTCGAGTTTGTTTATTAGAATAAAAATAAAAAGATCGTTCCCCTCATCAATAGGGCGTTGTAAATTTTTCAAAGCGGTAGTAACAGTTATAATCAAATTGCGTAAACTTTTTAAGTTGTTTAAAAAATCAACAGTTATATCCGGAAAATCAGTAATCCTTTTTAAATAATCAAAAATTAAAGCTTTACTGTTATTATACCGTGATTCTAGATTTTGCCAAATTAATTTAAAGTCATCAGCATTACCGGGCTGATTTTGAGCGATAATTAATGCTTCGTCTTTTAAACTGAGTTTAAGATAATGTAATCTTTCTGCGTCGGAAATACAATTATTATTGATAATTAGCGAAGTAAATAAGTCTCGAAATGAAAGCCACTCACTATACGATCCAGAAAATGTGGGGATGTTGATGCGAGGCAGATGAACTGATGACGTCGATGACCTTGCATTTGTAGCCGTCGAATGATCTCCAGATGGAGACCTGTCACTTGCTCTCTGAATAATCGGTTGATCTGGTAGTTTGGATAGGATGAAGTCCACGGCATCCTCGTAAGTCTCCTCGATTTCGAAAAATTTGTCAGGATCATACATGTCAATAGTTTCGTCGATTTCAGTGGCCGATTGTGTGGTTGCAGTTAGCTGCACGTGATTTACTCGACATTTCTCCCAAAAATCTTGTAAATTGGATAAACGTCCAAGCAATAACTGGCGGGGTGGATTGATTGCAGATTGAACTCGATTAGCGATTTTTTGAATAGAACTAAAAAGAAGTTCTTGGTCTTGTTTTATGACCTCATATTTACGGTCCGACATTTTTGTAGAAAAACTTTGTAGCGATGATGAAACTTTAGAAAATTAGTAAATCTTGTAAAAGTTTGTAAAAGACACTTGTTTTTTGTTTTTGTTTATCACGAGACTTGTGAAAAAACGTTAAGAAATTGCAGGTTAGAATAAACACATGAAGCACTCATAACCTGAACAATGCGAGAAACATGGCGTCACTTCAGGACGCGAGAATGTGTTCAACGAAAAATCACTTTTCACTTCCTTCTCCCATCCGGCTCGAAGGACCATGTTTTAGAATGTTAAGAAGGAGAATTGAATTTTATCTGACTTGTTAATTTCGTTGAACTTAAAGAATTTTATTTGAAGAACTTGTATTTTGTGGATTTTACAAAAAAAGCGGTATTAACTTGTGCGTTGTGAAAATGTATCTTATATATATATATATATCTATAGCCCATAAGCTGGCCTTCTTCATGCTTCTCGCACGCATACTGCGCAAGTCAAAAATACATTTACATGAAGCTGCAGTTTGAATGGCGGCAATTACAATTCAAAATTAACTTAAAATAAATTTACATTTTCCTTTTAGCCTAATATCTTAACACTATCCTTTCCACTCTCACGAAATTCTGCTTTGCATTGTGTTTTCTGCTCAACATGGGACCGTACCCTTATTCTAGTTGCGTTAAAACAGCCACCAGCTACTTCACATGTCCAAGTTGTAACCATAACTGAAGTGAAACTTTTTTTTCTATAATGTAAAATCATCAGTTTTTTCTCTTTTTGTTATTTTTCATCATTTCTAGTAGTTTTAATAAATAATTTTAACATCTACATAATATTTTAGTTAAATACACCAAATGCGCCACCATACCTTACAACTTTCAAAAATAAAAAAATCAGTTTTTTGCGCCAAGAGCTGTAAAATTTCACTGAATTTAAATTTTCACAGCCGCTTCTGACAGAAATATGCTTAATAGATGTCAGCAACTGCCTGCTTTTGAAATTTTGAAAAATATTGTTTTTTGACAGAGAGAGAGAGAGAGAGAGAGAGAGAGAGAGAGAGAGAGAGAGAGAGAGAGAGAGAGAGAGAGAGAGAGAGAGACGCAAAAAAGAAAGTGTCCTCCACCATACCTTAAACTCCCCTATGTAATTAAAGATGATGGTAATTGTTAACCTACAACAGAACATGTGAGAACTTGCTTTTTAATACAGTAGCATACAGAAATCTCCCACTTGAATTTCAAAAGCACTTTCTCTAAAGTAGTACAGCAAGTACTTCTGGGGTTCCAAGGCGAGTTAAGGGTGAAAATGTTCAGTGAGAACATTTTCTTTTTCTAACTAGTATGTTACTCTATATTCACTGAAAGTCAAACAAAAAGAAAGAACTAAATTTTCCCCAAATTGAAAAGGAAATAAACTATTTTAGAAAATTTTTTTTACGTAGACAGCAATTTTTTACAATTTTCTAATAACTAACCACGAAATTCAGAACGGCACTTAATTATCACAGATCTGTGACTTTGATATTCGTACTTTCAAACTCACAAGTTCCGTAATATCTCTCTTTTCTCTAAAGTTTAAAATTGTCCAAGTTACAATTGTTTCCACCTTTTTAATTACGATTTCTCAAAAGATGAATATAATTCATGTCAGTTCTTTTTACTCGATTTTCAAGAAAAAAAACTTATAGATTTATTTTTGAAGAATTACTACATAAATGATTAGAAAAAGGAATGAAGTTGAAATTTAAATTTATCCAAGCATAATAAGACATTCGGATGGAAAAAAGTTTCATGAAAAGATAATAAAAATTTTTCTCATGACATTTGCTTAGTATGTATTTTTATCCGACAGTTGAGGAAATAGGGGAAAAAAATTCTGCATTATAAGAATGTAGGTTAGAGCGTCTCTTACAGTTTCGTAAATGCACCGTAAATTGTTGAAAACGCAAGTTAGAGCTCTAGAACGAGAAGTTTACATACGTGTATCATTCTCTCCAGTCTGAACATCACTTGAAGATAGAATTAGTAAACATGACAGAATGTAGCTACAATCTCTTGTCTCCATGATATCTCTGGGTTTAAATTAACTCACTTAGGATTAGTTAAGTCTGACACTTCTGCAATAATACTCACAGTATTTATAATTATTCTTTTTATTAATAACAATAATTTGTTATCATAATAAATTGGCAGTTATATTTGTGACATCAAAATCAGTTGTTGTTTGTTATAAACAATTATATTGTTAGGACCCACGTGAAGTTCGAGTTGCGCCCCCGACCCGACCGAGGTAAGGTCAATTCCAGTCCTTGTGCGCAGCTAGCCCGAGTCGAAATTTAAGTCCTACTTTCACCCTGAATTTTCAGGGTCTATTGAGTGTTAGGAGTAGTAAAGTAGGGTCTAATTCTAATACGATTAGACCCTACTTTGACTCCCAAAATAGGCGGAAATTTGCCAATCTTCCATTTGGAGAAGCAAAGGAGGGTCTACTTCTAAGAAACCTATACCGTACTTTTAAACCTCGTAGACCCTACTTTCATACTCCTAGACCCTACATTCTAAAAGAAAATTTTGAATTATTTTTTAATGCATTACTTGAAACACTGCAAATGCAAAAAGTACTCCAAATTCATAAATAATGATGTGTTTTATAGCGTCTATATACACTTCGTGTATATAGACGCTATAAAACACATAAAATTCCACTTTTACTCATCCCTAGTGCTTCAATTGAATCTGAGCAAATCTTCAAATTTTTCTTTTTCTAATTGTAGGGTCTAGGAGTATGAAAGTAGGGTCTACGAGGTTTAAAAGTACGGTATAGGTTTCTTAGAAGTAGACCCTCCTTTGCTTCTCCAAATGGAAGATTGGCAAATTTCAGCCTATTTTGGGAGTCAAAGGAGGGTCTAGTTTTTAAAAATTGTATTGAAATCAGACCCTACTTTACGACTGCTAAACCTGAATAAGCCCTACATTTTCAGAGGCTAAGTAGGGTCTAAATTTCGACTCGGGAGTACTATAACTATACTTTAATTTTGATTGTTGTTTCGTTTAGGTTACAAATAATTAAGATAAATGAATTTTTTTTTGTAAAAGTGATTCAATTAATCAAAAAAAGGTATAAATTTAATGTTTATGCATCTTCTTATATCACTCACTGCAAAAATAGGTGTCTTTTTTGATATCTTAAAATAAGATGTTTTCTAAAGCATCTTACTGATATCTAAGATGCTTTATACGTTTTAGCAGTGATAAAGATATTTTTTTCCATCTTAGAAAAGTAAGCTACTTCGGCAAGTTTTTTAAAGTATCTTAAATTAAAATGTTTCTTTTGCAATAAGATGTTTAGCGATAAGTTTCTTAAGAATCGTAAGATGCGCCAAAAGTGTAAGTTACTAAAAACTAAGATGCATAAATTGTTTTCCATATGAGCCCATAGTTAACCTCAAAACTTTTCCCCCCAAAAATATACTGAAAATGTGTACGAAGATACATTTAACATCTTAAATTAAGATATTTCAAGTAACTAAAAAGTGTCTACCAAAACATCTTAAATTAAGATACTTCTTTTTGCAGTGGCTTTTACAGACAACGCCTGGCCTGGAGCGTAACTGAATTTCAAACCCAGAGCGTAACTGCAATTCAAAACCAAAACCCAGTGTGTGAAGGCCACAGAACCGTTCTCTATACTCTTCCTGTTGTGTAGCAGATTATAACAACTATTTTTGATAAATATTACCTCACTAAATCTATTTTCAAACAAATTTTTGTTACAAAATGAGACATTATTTTTGTCTAAAAAGAATTTAATTTAGTATTGTTTATTATTATCCAATTTCAAAAATCAGTTTGCTAATATAGGAAGAATTTTTTATTCTGCTATGGGAAATTTATTGCAAATTTAAAAATAATAACTGAAATAAAAAGTCTGTTTAAAAAAGAGAGTTTAGAGCTAAAAACCTTTTTAAGCTTTACGGTTTTTATTTATTTTTTGCAGAGAAATTTTTGCAGATATACATACTTCATTGTGAGTATTACAAGTATAATTTAAACTTTTTACAACGCTAATGAAAGCAATTTAAATGTGAAAAGTTTGTAATCACTCACACACGCTAAAACTTTCTTTCCTATGAATGACATTTTTCTGAAATAACTTTTACATTATTACTATTATTCCATGTGCTTAATAATTATTTTACAGTACCATTACTTTATGTTGATTACATTAATTATTTATGGTTGCATAAATTTCTGGATATTTTATACTTTCGTTAAAAGTATAGCTATAGATTTGATGCCATAAAATATCAAATTATGAAATCAATACATTTGATATCCTAAAATATCAAATTATGTTAATCAACCCTTTTTAATGTTATCCATCACCATTATTTGTTTATTTTAGAATTTTGGTTTAATTGCAATATGTGAAAATTATAAAGCAAAATTTTGAAAGTGTACAACATATGTTATTATGATAGTTTACCTTGTAGACGGAGAGGTTCTCGACGACACAAACTAGAACAGCTTCTCTTCCCACAGGAACCGTCACGTTTGATATTGGCTCGCTGAAGGCAGGTCCCTCTGAAACATCGTGTCACATGCCTTTTAATACTATGTCAGTGTAAGAGAATAACAAAGGTGAGCATAAAAGGTACTAACTGCGCTGACCACAAAACAGAATATGTTACAAGCATGGTATTTCATGCATATAAATCGTTACATAAAGAATTCATAATTTTTAATATTAAAAAATAGTTTTAAAAACATAATTTCATAGACGAAAAAATTTTCCACAGAGAAAGAGAATACTGAAATTTCTATGCCTATAAACCAGTATTAAATATATGCTACCTATAAAAGAAATCGTACAACATTTCGTAATTAGATTTTGTTTTAAGATATACTTTTTAAAAATAAAAAACTTCTTCCATAATATTTTTTAGAACACATTAGGAGAAACAATCAATAATGAGAAACAATGAATAGTAAACATTTACGTAAATGTTTACAAATCGATTT